AGAATCCTTCCTCTGCCATGCCCACCAAGCCACGCTCACAGAGCCAGTAGTAAAAAAATTTGGATTGTACCACTGATAGATAGATAGATAGATAGATAGATAGATAGATAGATAGATAGATAGATAGATAGATAGATATGTTATTGCTTTTTATCAGCTTCTGAGACTCTTTCCAATTGGAGTGGAATATAAATTTGATAAATATTTGTCTGTTTAGAACTATGTCTACCCTTGCTTATTACCACCTGTCTATCTTGATATTCTTCCACATTTTTCCCCTCTGGGGTGGGGTGGGGATTACGATGCCCTTTCCATCCCATCCTTCTGCCCCAGGCAAGCGTTTGTCAAAATTCCTTCCTTCCTTCAGGTTTTTCCTTCTGGTGTCCACAGGATCCAGTTTGCAGCCAGTCCTCCTCATCCATCTCACTGTGCTTCATCCAATTACACTTTCCAGTAGGCACTCAGAATTCCTGGAAACTGCCAATAAACTTCAGGCAAGACTGAGAATTGTGCCCCGGGTCTATGTCTCCTATGCAGGAAAAGGATTCCTACCAGGCATTTCCTCCCGACCTTCTTCTGGCCCAGCCCTTGAGGCAGCCACACATCCCTCTCTGGGAGATAATCCCTCGATTGAGCATTGGTCACCCAGCCAAGAGAGGAGGCTCTTGAGCAGTGGCTCTCCTACTTAGAGCAGTGTCACCCTCCACGGGCACTTCAGATCCCAACAACCACAATGGCAAAGGTGGTGTCTTTCTCTGGGTTATGTTGCCTTTTGGCCCTTCTCCTGGGACAGCCGAGCCTTGGACATCGGCAGCCGTGGCCTTTCTCAGAGTCCAATGACTTTTCTGGCTTCTGGAACAAGATGAGGGACGATGCAATCATCTACCAAGCTACCCTCATGTACCACCAGGCCGTGGGGCACTTGAACAAGGAGCACAACTGCACTTACCTCTCAGCCCCCGAAGAAAAGGTCCACGTCCAATTGATGGTAAGGGGAAAGGGGTGGGATGAAGTTTCAGGTTGTTCTCATTCTATTCATGTTCACTTGCAAAGCTACAAGGGCACACTTTCTGATTTTGCTCATGCTTTTTATTGCACACACATAAACACTGTACTCTTCAGTTTCCCTCTTCTAAAATTCAGTAGCAGTACTTTAATGTCTAAGAGTTTATCTTTTGAACAGATTTGGTCTTCGAAATACTTTTTATCATTTTAAAGAATTCCTCTTCAGTGGCAGGGAAAGAGAGTCGTGTCCTTTGCTCACTGGCTTCACTCACTGGCCACGGGACGGAAGCGGCTCTCCCTGGTCTGTTTTCCTCCCTTTCAGTAAAATCTTCCTTGCTCAATGCCCCTTTTCCCTCCTTAGAACTGCTACTGTCATAAAGAAATAGTTGGGGTTTTTTAAAGTATTCTGTTGCCGCCTCTTCATTCCAGGAAACTATTCTTTATCTAACTCAATTTTTAAAAGGCAAGTTAAACTGCTATGCCTGTTACTTTGAAAATTCTGGGGCAAATTCTGTAACACTCAGAAGACTTGCTGGTCTTTTTCCCGGACTCCCTCAGGTCTACCCTCAAGGTGGTGAGGACTTGCTGCCAATCCTCTGAAGGGAAATCAGGGACATGTAGGGGGGAGGGGGAGACAAGAGGGAGCTCACCTGAGAATTTTGCTGGCTGTATTTCAGAGTATGCACGGGAAAATTTACCACTTCAGAACCATCCTGGTGAAGGTCACATGTCCTCCGGGGGAGAAAAGACCAAATCACAAGAACTGTCAGATTGTTCCTGGATCACCGGTGAGGAAAGGGTTTTTAATGCCGTTTTTTAGGATGGGGTTCATGTAGTCACTCCTAGCTGTTAGCACAGCTGAAATCTGGGTGGGCTGGAGGTAGCCCAGTGGGGTGTGCATGGGGTGGGGGGGGTGGGAGGAAGAAAGCTGGAGTGGGATTAGGGCCTTTGTGACCACCAGCCAATGCAACCCCACCTGTTACTGTTCGTGCAGACACCCTGAATAGAAAGGTGAGTGGGGCTCCCGCCCCCAGGATTTCATCCCCCACTGCCTGCTGACAGTTTTCAGCTGGGCAGAGGTGCCAAAGCCACTGAGTTGTTTTTCCCTTTGGTCAGAGGAGGTCAAACTCTTCTTTGAAGAGGCGTTGCCTTGGAACTCCAGAGGAGGAAAGGGAAAGGGGTGCTCCCGATGCAAGTCGCTCCTGCCCTCCCCCCACCTGGGGGGTCCGTGCTGCCCCTGAAGCCCCACTCCTTTCTCCAGGATTATCGCTCTGTGGAGGAGGGGCTGCCTCTATCTGACACACGCCATCAGCCCTTTAGCCACCTTTGGCTGCTGCGGCCCCATCATGGGCACCAGGATGAGAAACTGGGAACCTCTGAGGGGTGCTGTTTGCACAGCCAACTGCCCATAAAATGCAGAGCAACTGACACAGCTTCCTTCGGATATAATGGAAATGCAGGAAAGGAGGGGAGGGGGGAGGTAAAGATTTTGGAAAACGTAAAGACCAACCTCCATGCAAGAGCTCTGCAAAGTCTTGTCTGTTTTATTTCTTTTATGCCTGTAGAAATATTTGTGCTACTTGGAGTTGGCAACCTTCCCTGCTTTCAACATCCATAAAGTAGGAGTAAAAAGTTGTGAGGAGTACCGGGCCACTCCGAGTCCTCCTGTGGTCCCACCTGGAGAAGAACCCGAAAAAGAAGAGGGCACTCCGTACATGTGAAGAGAGCGGCTTCCTGCCTTCTCCTTTATGGCCACGCAGTGGATCCCCAGCCCAGAGATCCCTCCCCCCACATTGGTGCCCATGAAATGAAAATTCTGTAACAAAAATGGAATAATCCTAAATCTCATGAGTGGCAAAATGCTCTTCTTGGTTCTTATTCATGCTTTGCTTATTACATCCAGTTCCAGATGGCACAAAACCTCCCGTCATGGAGGCTTCCTTAAAAAAGTACCCTTTTTTTAAACTTGGCGTTCCTCACTGGTAAACAAAACTGGTTTCCAAATCCTGCCTGAACCCCACATGAATAGGCCAAAGTAGATATTTACTGTTGATCACCTACATTGCAAGAATCTGGCCAGACTGCCTGCCTTCCCTTGGGAAATGCCTGGGGGTTCGACCTCAGGGTCCATCCCCCCCAATCGACTCTACGCTGTCATGTCCCCTTTACTCCCCCCCTTCAGCCAGCGATTCCACCACACTGGCATAAAGCCGCAAGAAGGAGAAACCTGAAGAGGCCAATACAGTACACGTAACAGGGGGAAAGGGAGGTTCGGCAGAAACAGAGGAAAGGGGCAGAACCAAAGAATGCAAGGCCATCTCCAGAAGCTGTAGGACCCACATCAGGAAGGAAGGTTACAGCTGAAATGTGCTAAGACTTGTAATAACATCAGAAACAACGACAAAAAATGTTTGGCAGCTCATTAGAAGGGGAAAAAATGGGGGGGGGGGGCGGCAAAGAGATTGTAGAACTTTGCAAGGAGAAAATGGTAAGAATGCAGAGCTCCTATTTTCCGTATTTGTGTCAGGAGGCCATATCTTCCGTCCCTGAGGAAGGAGGGGGCAGCGGCTCAGGTAGACAGAGAGGAGGTAAGAGAGCCGGTTTAAACAAATCCAGGTCTCCAGGGCCAGGCAGGTCACATCCCAAGATCCGGAAGGAACCAGCAGGGGTGAGCATAGAACATTATCTTGAGAAGTCCTGGAGGAGCTTATCTTCAAAAAACAGCAGACGACAACAAAGGGCTTTGTACCAATCCTGTACAAAATCCTCAAGCCATGTTTGACAGTTTGTTGGTCAGCACTCTGATAGGAGGAATTGGTGTCAAAAATCCAACATAGGTCGGTTGCAGATCACTAACCTTACCTTTCCTAGCTTAGAAGATCCTCCAGCTCAGCAAAACTCTCCTGCGCTCCTTAATAAAATGGCAAAAGGCAGACTAGACTGGAGCTCTCAAGTGGGCCGCGGAGGACCCTGTCCTGGGCTGGGGTCTTCCACACTGCACCAATGACTTGCATGAGACGTTTATCCAGTCTGCAGACGACACAGAGCTGGGAGAGATGGCTAGGATTTTAGGTGAGAAAGAGAAGAGTCAGAAAGATCTGGGCAGGCCTGAGCAGGGGCCAAAAGGGCCAAAATGGACAGCAGGTTCCAGGAAGGAAGGCCCAGCTCTGCATTTAGATAGGAAACAGGAAGGCATAAAACCAGGAAGGGGGGGGGAGAGAAGCCTGGCTTGGCAGCAGCACCCATGATTTTGCCCACTGAACAAAAGGCTGCTGGAACTCTGAGGGATCCCGTTTGGGGAATCTGGCCTGATCCTTGCCCATGGACTCTTCACCCAGCCCAGGATCTCCCTCCCTCCCTGGCTCAGGGTGGCTGTGATCGTTACCTCGTCCTGGCCCGCACTCCCTCCAGCAGCAGCAGCAGCCCTGCGTCTGCCCTTGTGTGGCACCAAAACAAAGAGCGGCATTCTCTTAGACTACCAGCCCAGCAAATGACTTGTCCTGTGGCTGCTTGGTGCTGCTGGCTCAGCCGAAACAGTGAGATGCCCTCAAGGAGGGAAAAGAAAAGGTGGGGGGAGGGATGGAAGGAGGTTTCTAGCAACTAGAAAGAGGGTCAAGGAGAAAGCGAACCCGGCAGAGCTCAAGCATTGAAAGTAAATTATAAATATGTCTTTTACTGAGCGTCTCTGAGGGCCAAACCCCACAGCCTCCTCCCTAGCCATCCCTCCTGGCCTACAGTGGACACCCAGATGGCCAAAGGCGATCCACAGTCTGCTTTGTTTCTGCTATGCCAGTTGGATGTCTCCTTGTTCAGTGCCCTGGTAATTTTGAACAGTTGCTGAACAAACACAGGTTAAGCCAGGGCCCCCTAGTCCTGTTCCTAATGTTTCCTGCTGTTCTTCTGACACCGTTTATAAAAGGAAGCTCTTCCAAAAGTTAGCCAAGGCTGAAGTAGCAGAGGAAACACACGTCAAGGAATGCATAGAAACACACAGAGCCATAGCGTTTCGTTTTATTTCTTTCAAGGGCTTCCACTAAAAGTTTTGCCCTTCCCTTGTTTTACCCAAGTGTCCATCCACGATTCTCAGGCCCAGCCCAGATGATTGGTCCAATAATTGGCAACCCAGGAAAATCATGATTTGGTTGCGCTGCCTCTTCCAGTGGTGGAAAGAGGAATGGCAGCCCCTCCACCCCCTCCAAAGCAGCCCTGGAGTCTCGGCTTAGCTGGCTTTTACATCACAAAGCGGCAGCCCAGAGTTCAAACTTGGGCATGGCCAATCTTCCTCGGTTTGGCAACTGAAACAGAAGGGACTAGGCAGATGGATAAAGGGAGGGGAAAAAGGCTGATATTGGGGCAAAAATTATCCTCCACAAAGGTAGGAGAAAGGAGGGAAGCAGAAGCAGCAGCTAGAGAGGAGGACCCCCTACCCTCCCGCCTGGGACAGAAGCGGCCCCTTCTACTGCCAAACAGGCTCACGGCCTCCAGGAAAAGGGGGCCGAAGAGAGATGGGCTGGGGGACATGTGCACATGGCCACAGCAATTCCTTCTCACTCGGCTCCTTTTCTCTCTGCCAGGAGGAGGAAGGCAACAACGAGTGCCACCATGCTCACGGAGGGAGGGGGGAAGCAATGAGTCCCCTGCCCTCCTGAAACCCAGCCCTGCTCCTCCCCTAGAGGAGTGGAGGGAAGGGAAAGGGAGGTCCAGTGATGAAAGCTGGGAAAGTTGATTTGAGGTCCCTGGGACGAGATGGCTACTCAATCTCCAGGATCAGATCATCCCCTTCTAAGCTCATCTCAGGCTTGACATAAATTTTCTTAACCGTGCCTGTCATGGGTGAATTGACCACGGTCTCCATTTTCATGGCGCTCAGGACGCAGAGCGGGTGTCCCTTCTCAATCTGCCCGCCTTCCTTCACTTTGATGTCGATGACTTTCCCAGGCATGGGAGCCCCCACCTGGCCTTTGACATCCTTCAGGGCTTTGGGGTGGAAGTGCATCTCCTGGCAAGGCAAAGTTAAGAGTGAGGGGAGGGGGGAGGACAGCCATGGCTTCCTTCCATTGCTTCCTGCCCAAGACAGAGTGCCAAGAGATGGGAGGAGACAGGGGAGGGAGGGGGGCTCATTGGAAATTAAATGCTAAATTGGGTGACAATAATAGAACATGCTGTGGCTAGTGGCATTAGTAATTAACCTAAATACCATTTATGAATAAAAGATATATTTTAAATGCCACTGATTTTAAAGAAGACAGATAACTCTGTAGAGCAAAATCCAATCTACCGGGATTGAATTCGTTAGGACTCCAACCCTGCCCTGCCTCTCTGCCTGCCTGTTTTGTTACCTTCATAGCCTTGGCGTCCTTGACCAGGATGGAGCGCAGCTGCCCGTTCAGTTCAAAGAAGACTTCCCTCTGGCCAGCCCGGTTGAGGTCTCCCAGGGCTAAGGCCTTGATGTGCAGCGTCTTCCCCCGTTCCAGCTCCACCTGCGAGGGCACCGGGGAGGGAAGAGAGTGAGAGGTGGGTCCTTTGCAGCCCTTCACTCAAAGGCAGCACCACTGTGGTCCTGGGTGACCGAGTCTTGTGCGAGGGGCTGCTGCTGCCTAGTTTGGGTGACGAAACGTGCGCAAGGAAACCACCAAGCTCAGAGAGCCCCCAGGCCTCCCAAGAGCCCCTCTGCTGTGCTCCCGGGGTTAACCAACGGGAAGACTCCATGGCAGTCTGGGGCTGCGGGGCGATTCAATGCCGCTTTCCATGACAGCCGGGGGCTCTGCAAAGGCTCTGCTTCTTTCCCACCCTCTGGCCCTGGCAATCTGTGAAAGGGAGTCTGCAGCTTCTGCGTCACCTCACCACTTGCTGGTTTCCACTTTATCCTCAACTGTGATATTAGAGAGCTTTGAAAAAGTGTGTTTCCTCCTAGATCTCACCCTGCTGTTTCAAGGGCCGTCTCCTATTATCTGCATTTATAATCCTATCACTGAAGAAGTTTCAATCTTTTTCGTTTTTTTAAAGTGTCCGCAATAAGGAAACGGGTCGCATGAGCTGCCAAGTGCAACTCCAGAAAAAAAAGGTAAAGATGGAGGCACCACAAGACAGTGAGCAGCGCACAACCAGTAGCAAGTTTAGGCTTCACCTCCACCTAAGTGGCATCCCCACAAGGAGGCCAGACCTGGATCTGTGGGGCATCGTGAGTCGCATGGGTGAGATGGGGCAGTGAAGGTTGTATGCATTTTATGAAGGAAGGAATAAAATGCCATGTTGGGTGTTCCTTCTAGGGCAGACTAACCCTACACTGACCGGCCTCCCACTTTGCTCATTCCTGGAGGGTCCAACTCCTGGCATTTTAACCAAATGTTTGATGCTTCCTGCGCTCTGGATCTCACCTCAAACTCCTCGGCTATCTTGGGCCCCTCCAGGAAGAGCCGAGTATTGAGACATTCGACAGGCCCAAAGGAGGCTGTGAAGTCCTTGAAGTCACTGAAGACCTTGGGGTACATGGCAGCAGACAGGACGTCTTCTGGGGTGATCTCTTCATGCTTTTCGCACAATTCCTGCTCCAATTTTGTGAAGTCCAGAGGAGGTAGGGAGGCCCCAGGGCGGCCCTCCACACGGGGCAGATCTTTCAGCACCTAGGAAAGGACCATGAGCTTTGGGGTGGAAGCCCCACAGAAGCAGCCCTATACAAGGAAGAGCAAAGTTGGCATGACCTCTTCCTCCTCCTTCTGACTTGCCCGGCCTTCCACTCAACTCTCCCAAAGCAGGAATCAAGGTGTGGGGAGGAGGGGCAGAGGGTGTCTGAAAACCTCGGTTTTCTTAGGTTGGCAGAAGGCCAGAAGGCCCTGTAGCAGCTTTTCTCTCCAAGAATGGGTAATCTGCTCCGTGTCTCTGATGGGCAGGCACCCCAAAATGCAAAGAACAGACGCCCTCATACCAAATCCTCGGTCTGAAGTTGAGACACGAAGGCTGTGGGTTTACTTCCCTCCCCACAATTTCTCTGGGCTCCTTGGGGGCAAAGCAGGCCCCCCCTTCCTACCTTGGAGCGGAAGGGCTCTGGGAAGCCCCCGTAGGGGATGCCAATGTAGCCTTGCAGGAACTCCACCACGGACTGGGGGAAGGAGAGCTCGTCTGCCTGAGCTTCCACATCTTCCTTCGTCAAGTTGTTCTGGACCATGAACTGAGCCAGGTCGCCCACAATCTTCGAAGAGGGTGTCACCTGCACAGGGCAGCAAGGGGGAACACACTGAGAGGAGCAGCACCAGGTGCAGCCAACAGCCATTGAGGCACAAAGCCAGACAGGGCAAGGGCACCTTCAGCAGGCAGGGTGAGGCCATCTTGTCAAGGGCCAAGCTGGAGGCAAAGAATCCAATGGTCACAGCTGCTACTGCCTTTTCCTGGGACAAACTGTGTGCTCAGAAAAATCAGATCGGGCTCTGGCAAGCTTTGGCTTTATGTAAGGACAGGCTTTGGCCATGAAAGCCCCTCTCTCAAGGACATTGGTCTGAGCTGCCTCTGGCCTTTAGGAACCTTTGAACTAGAGACCGGCAACCCTTGAGGAGGCCTGGAGCCCTTTGGCAAATCTCAGCCAGTGACGCCGCTGGCTAAACAGATAATTACGCAAAGACCTGGAAACTTTTTGAGAGTTTCTTTGCCCGCCTGAGCTTGTGAGATCCACCCTGCCCTCCTGGGAAGGGAGAGGACCAGGGTGGGCAAACTGACCTTGATGAGGTCGCCAAGCAGCTTGTTGGCCTCCACATAGGCTTTCTTCACCTCCTTGAACTTGTGGCCCAACCCCATGCTGTGGGCCTGGAAGTGCAGGTTGGTGTACTGGCCGCCGGGGATCTCGTTCTCGTAGACGTCCGCGTTGCCAGATTTCATGGTGGCCGTGCAGTCGAAGGCCGCGTAGAGGCCCCGAGCCACCTCCCAGTATTCGCTGTAGTCAAAGACTTTCTCCATCTGGATGCCTGGGGAGAGGGAGGGGGAGAATCCTTCCCATCAGCCCAGAGCAGGGGGCAGCCCTGCCACCCACTTTCTGCTCAGACTGCGGTTGGAGGGCAGACCTGAGCCCAGCTCCATTTCTGGACAGAGCCAACCAGCTAACCAAATGAATAAACCTTCTTTCAAGGTTGAATATGGACAGATCTGAGTCAGCGTTGAGTCTTCAGAAACACAGTGCAGCAACCACAACCTTCAGGATTCTCCCTTTCCCCTTTCTCTAAGGAGCTGCAGGTGGCTGGACTCTGGTGACAGAGGGTCACTCGGCTGCTCCCTTTCTGTCCTCCCTGCCAGAGGGCGCCAGGGGCCGATGCTCTCAGCCTGGCTGGTGCCTTGCTCTTGAACAAGGGCCGGATTGACCCAGCTGCAGAACCCCCTCCTGAATTGCCTTGGGGACCCCGGGCTAGTCCCTTGCTCTCTCTGCTCAACCTGCCCCACAGGGCGGTTGTGAGGATAAAATAGGGGAGGATCTCCAATCTGATGTCTAGGGAGCCCCCTGATTCCCCAAGGGGAGCCCAGTTCGCCAAAGATCCAGAAGACATCCAGGCAGTTCAGCAAACAGCCAGAAAGCTCCTCCGGGAAGAAATAACGTCCCTCTGGAAGTAAACAAGTACGAGGAATAAAACTATCAGGACTGAGGACTTTAGGTTGCCCCAAAGGCCACCTGCAAGGAAACTCCTTGTGCCAGACAGGCATGGAGAAGAACGGCTCCACAAGAGAATCATAGAACTGGAGCGCCCCCCCCACACACACACACACCTTAATAGGAAGCCAGATGTCTGCCCATGGCTTCTTTTCCATTCGCTTCTCAGGCCTCAAGGGCTGGCAGGCTGGAAGCCACGGCTGGCTGATCCCCAAGCCTTCCGAGGGCAGGGACAGCCCTGGCTGGAATTCCCTGGCCCTGGCCAGACGCCAATTGTTTCACACGTACACACACACACACACACACACACACCTTCTTCTGCTTCTGTTTTTGTGGGCTCTTCTATCATTCTAATTTTAAAGGTTGGTGTAAGTTGCTGTGGGTTCACTTGGACTGACTGGCCGCTATTCCTTAAATATATAGATTTTTTAATTTCTTTGTGGAATTACGATTTTATAATCGCTTAAAGCAGCTCAAGGACCTGGCATTCATTCTCTTGCTGCAACCCCCAGGCCAGATGGGAGGGGGCCAAATCCTGGCTGCAGACTGGCCTGGGCTGCCCTTTGTGGGGCAGACGAGAACCCCTTCTGCTCCTGCTTCAGACCTGTGTCGTGCTCTGTGCCACGGGTACAAGCCACCATCGCGCCCATGCTCGGTTGGGAAGTCATGCCCGACATGGCATCCACCGCAACGTCAACAATGTCAGCTCCAGCAGCAGCACAAGCCAACATGGAAGCCACGCCAGCACCCGAAGTGTCGTGGGTGTGAATGTGAAGCGGGACATCGGGGAAGTGCTTGCGCAGCACCCCCACCAGCATGGAGGAGGCCTGCGGCTTCAAGACTCCAGCCATGTCCTGCAAGAGAGAAGGGCAGAGGCTGCAGGCGTGGAGGAGGAGGAGGAGGGAGGGAGGGAGGGAGGGAGGGAGGGAGGGAGGGAGGGAGGGAGGGAGGAGGTGCAGCTGCAGATGAGACGGATCCCCTGAAGTCGAGGGGTGGGCATCAGCTTCCCTTCTGGAGTCAGGCCAGGAGGAGGAGGATAATAACCGACTCCTTCGGACTCTCATTTCAGCTCCAAACCTCCTGGTTGGAATGCCATGAGGAAGAATGGAAACGGGTGTGTCGTGCCCCCACCCCTGGGGCAGGGGAGAGTGGAAGTATGGAGGCAAAGCCTTCCCCGTCCTCCCTCCCTGCCTACCTTGATGGCCAAGATGTGAGTCCCGGCTTTGATCAGCTCCTCCGCAAGGCTAACATAGTAATCCAAGGTGTACTTGGTCCGGCTGGGATCAGCCACATCCCCCGTGTAGGAGATGGCGGCCTCCACCACGCCCCCGGCCTGCCCAGCTGCCTCCATCCCCAGCAGCATGTTAGGGAGGTAATTGAGAGAGTCAAAGACGCGGAAGATGTCCATCCCATTCTCTTTGGCCATCTGGCAGAACCTGCAATGGGGACGGAGAGGAGCCCTGAGCCAAGGCCGGCCAGCTGCCCCTGCGCCAAACCCACACTCTACTTCACGGCCTGCCCAGGAGGGAGGGAGGGAGGGAGGGAGGGAGCAGGCTATCTGAAGGCAGATACAGTCTAGCAAGGATGTCGGGTTAATGTGGAAAGCCACAATTGGGCTTTTCCTCCAAAGTGACTGAACTTCCAGGAGGGACCAAAGGAATAGAGAGGATTTAAACATGCAAAAACAAAAGCTGAGCTTTTTGAGCATAAAATGTATAACTGCCAAAATAAACCTCAGAAAGGCAGGACCAGTTCTGAGAAAAACGTGAAGAAGGCAAGTGGGGCAACCCTTTGTTCAAGCACATGGAAACAGCCCAGGTGAAGCCGCGCACCACTTACTTGAAGACGGAGTTATCTGGGTAATTGGTGTAGCCCACCGCATTTGCCCCCCTCAGCAGCATCTGGAATGGGACGTTGGGGATGAGCTCGCGCAGCTCCTGTAGCCGGCGCCAGGGGCACTCATACAGGAAGCGCATGGCAACATCAAAGGTGGCACCTGGAAGGGAGGGAGAGGAGTATCAGCGAGAAGTCTCCTGCACTCATCTGAAATCCTGGAGTTGGGTTCCTTGGGAGCTCCCTCCCTTGATTATCAGAAAGAAAAATACACAAGGGAACACAGAGCCTGGTTTTTTTTATAGCAACTCCAAAACCCAAAAGGTTTTCAGCTGGCACAGCAGCAAGTTTGATAACTGGTCCTTGGTCAAGTGGTCTGAGCCAAGTTCAACTTTCTTGTCCACCAGCATTGCCATCTTCACAGCAACATCCCTGCTTAAGGCCCTTAATTCCACCAGTTCTATACGCCACAGAGCCTCAGGCCTACGGGAGCCGAACTTATGGCCAAATTCAAGGGTCAACACAGTAGGCAGATCTGCAGCTCACTCATTTCAAAACAGCCTCTCCTCAAGTCTTTCAGCTAGATCACAGACCTAGGAAAAGAATCAGAGCCATCAGGAAAGGATCTGAATCTGAGTTTGAGGTGAACATGCAAGAGACTGAAGATGCAGATTTAATAAGGATGAGGGGACCACATGTGGGTCATTATATGAGTTGGAATTTTACTGCAAAAAGGGCAACATTTCCATCTGCCAGTAGCTGGGCTGGCAGCTTGTTCAAGGTGACCCAGTCTCTCCTGGACAAAAGGGCTCATCTGTTGGATAAAGTCGTTCAGAAGAGATCTGCTCCAGTTGGGCCTCACTGTAAACGTCCCATGGAGTTGACTGCTTGGTCATCCGAAAAGAGTTGAACTGGGGAGGATCCTCAAGGTTGCAGGTGGGTTCATTTAAAAGGTCCATGTTGCTTATGATTGTACAAAAACTATCCCAAGATGATGTGTGGTAGGATCCCCCTGGTAGTGATGCATCCTCGAGGGATGACGCCTCAAGAAACAATTTTTATTTGGTCACCAAGCTATACTCCAATGGGTATTTTAGGGAAGGTTGTTGAGAAGATGGTTCCAACTCCGGGGGTTGGAAGTGAGGAAGTTAAGTTGTGGTGATTGACCTTTTCCCAAAACCAGCTCCAGGCAAAAGGTCTGACATTGCACCCTCCCCACTCAGTTCTACCTGAGAGTTCCTGGGTGAGGAATTAAGTCCCATCAGAAAAATGGTCATACAGAGTTATACATTCTAATAGGAGAGAACACATGTAGCTCAGGACTAGGGACTGGCTGAATCCCTTTCCATTATATTACTCCCTTGTAGGTCTGGCACCACAGAACTCTCACCCCCGCCCACCGCCACAATGATTGGCTGCTGTGTTTAATCAATGCTTCCTGCTGCTTCACTGACCAATCAGGGAGCAGGGGTGGGTTCTACAATTATTTACTACCAGTTCTTTGGGCGTGGCTTATTTTGTGGGCGTGGCTTGGTGGGGGGGTAATGTGACTGGGTGGGCATGGCCAACTTTTTTTTTTTTTTACTTTTAAAAGCATTTTTTCGGCTGAAGAGATTGTAGAAAAAAATGCTTTTAAAAGTAAAAAAAAAAAAGCCTCTGATGAGGTAGGTGGGGTAACCGAGCGGCGACCGGACCGGGGACCGGTTCAGGGGTTTGGCCAGCCAATGTTATTACCGGTTCTCCAAACTACTACCAATTTTTACTACCGGTTCTTGTGAACCGGTGTGAACCAGGAGCAACCCACCACTGTCAGGGAGGCTTTATTACTACTTTTACCACCTATTTTTTCTGCTGCTGCTGCTGCAACTCTGCCCTCCCAGGCTCTGATTAGAGAAAATGGGGCCCTTTATTCTGCTGACTTGGCTTGGGAATTGTAACGTTTGTATAATCCTGTCAGAAGGCTGTGGCAAGGTAACAAAAAGCCAAATCCTCGCTTAAGATATCCCTTTTATGCCATTCTTAAGCTTTTTGGGTAATTTTGTTGTTTTATTTACCCTTCTGACTTGCTGTCTTTGACCATGTATTATACTAAGCTTGCTTTGTCTTCCTTCAGGCTCACAGTTCTATTACTTGTCTGTGGTGATTATTTGCAGGCAGGATAAACCTGTCCATTTATTTCAGACCTGAATTGCTAGCTTCATCGTGAGCCCTTGGCTGCAAAAGCCCTCTCAGAACTAACGTGGGCAGCCCCATCTCAACCAGCCATCAACCTGGCAGCAGAAACTTCCTCACAAGCTTCCTCACAGGAGCTCTCAGGCTTCCTGGGGGGCCCTGGGGACCCCAGCCATTCTCTGAAGAGTGAATGTGTGAAGTGTCATCTGTACGCTGACGATACTCAGCTGTACATCTCCACCCCAGACCACCCCAACGATGCCCTTGATGTGATGTCTTGCTGCCTGGAGGCCGTGCGGGTCTGGATGGGGAGGAACAGGCTCAGACTCAACCCGTCCAAGACCGAGTGGCTGTGGCTGCCGGCGTCCCGATATAGTCAGCAGATGCCATCGCTGACTATTGGGGGTGAATCTTTGCCCCCCCCCAGAGAGGGCTCGCAATCTGGGTGTCCTTCTGGACACACGGCTGTCTTTAGAAGAGCACATGACGGCTGTGGCCAGGGGGGCCTTTTATCAGGTTCACCTGATTCGCCAGTTGCAGCCCTTTCTGGATCGGGACGCCTTGCGCACGGTCACTCACGCCCTTGTCACCTCCCGCCTGGACTATTGTAATGCTCTCTACATGGGGCTCCCCTTGAAAAGCACTCGGAGGCTCCAGCTGGTCCAGAACGCAGCCGCGCGGGTGGTTATGGGCGCAACCCGTTATGCCCACGTGACACCCCTCCTGTGCGAGCTGCCCTGGCTCCCAGTGGTCTTCCGAGTGCGATTCAAGGTGTTGGTCACCACCTTTAAAGCGCTCCATGGCATAGGACCTGGGTACCTTCGAGACCGTCTTCTGCCACCAATAGCCTCCCACCGACCAGTCCGTTCCCACAGAGAGGCTCTCCTCAGGGTGCCATCGGCCAAGTTATGTCGGCTGGCGACACCCAGGGGGAGGGCCTTCTCTGTGGGAGCCCCAGCCCTGTGGAATGAACTGCCCCCGGAAATACGTAAGATCTCCGACCTCCGGGTGTTTCGCTGCGCACTCAAGACCCTGTTGTTCCGCCAGGCCGGGCTATTAACATAACGATTTTAAATTGGGGTATTTTAAATTTCTGGGATTTTAATTGGAGCCTAATTATTTAATGATTTTAAATTTTAATTGTTGTTTTTGTTCTGTGTTTTTAATAGGCTGTACACCGCCCTGAGTCCTTCGGGAGAAGGGTGGTATAGAAATAAAATTATTATTATTATTATTATTATTATTATTATTATTATTATTATTATTATTATTATTATTATCTCACCTCCCCAGTTCTCGATGCTGAAGAGCCTACTGAAGTTGTGAGCTACGAAGGGGGCGATCTTCTTCAGGTCGTGGGTGCGAACACGAGTGGCCAGCAGTGACTGGTGAGCATCTCGGAAGGTGGTGTCCATTAAAAGCAGGCCCTGGTGCTGGCGAATGGCCTTGGCGAAGCCCACAGGGCCCTCACTGAGAAGGACATCCCGGAAGCCGGTGGGGGGCTGCCCTGTTGCAGAAAAAGAATTGCATTATATGCAAAGCACAGAAAGCGGTAATGAAAATCTCACTCCTTTCCCAAGAACAGGGAGCCCAGTGGACTAAGAATTTTATAACTGGCAAACGAACTCCTCGCCTCTTCTCGTGCTGGTGTGCAACTGGAGTCCATGTCATTAGCATTCCAGAGCCTGTTGCAGCCAACCCAGCAAATAGCCTCAAACTCAGGGCCTCTTGAGAGAGACTCTCAGGCTCATGAAACAGCAGTTTTTGCCCCTGCAGGGACCTTCCTCAGATGCCCTTGTGCTGCAAGCAGAAGTGACCACCATTCCAATTAGGATCAGCAGCCACTTGCAAAATGGCTTATTAAAGGTTAACCAAACCTCTGTTGCTTGGTTGGTGGGCTGAGAAGGGCTCATCCTCATGTAGAAGGGCCCCCTCCCCAGAACAAACTATTCCACAGAACAAGAAAAGAAGCAAAATAAAATATTTCCCCTAAAGGGGAAGAGGAGAAAAATCGCCCCCGTCTTTCCTCCGCTAAAACAGCCTGCAGGCAAAGTTTAAGGAAACTAAGTTTCTGTCAGCACTTCAACCTGCATTCATAAAATAATGCACACATTGTAAAACTGGATTTGGCTAAATTGATTGTGCAGGCTGAGGTCAAATTAGGAAAACAAAACACTTAGGATTTACATTTCCCCTTTTCCTTTAGGGCCAGTCATGACTCTACTTGCCACAAAAGACAATCTCACAATGACAATTTAAATACTATATCCAGTCTAAAGAACATAGAAAAAACACATTTTCATATAAATATCAACACATTAATAAAAAACAACCCAGAAATATATAAAAACTCACTAACTCACAACCCCAATTCGCCAGCTGCCCCCAGAAATCCATGCTGTTGTCACTGTTGTCACTCCTTTCCAGAGGGAGCTGGGGGAACCTCCTTTCCAGAGGGAGCTGGGGAGAGCAAAAACGGGGCATGCAGAGGGTTTGGGAGGCCTGTAGAGTGCTCCTGTGGGCTGGGGAGGGCAAAACCTTTTTTTTTTCTTGCTTATCTCTTCGAAATCTTTGTGTCTTATACACCGGTGCGTCTTATAGTCTGAAAAATACAGTAACTTCCCACACTCAGAAATATCTTTTCTAAATGTTTGAACTGATCTACAGTATCCTCAAGACGTCATTGCCATCCCATCCCATCCCTAAGACCCTTGAGCTGCTGAATGGGCTCTCCAGGAAGCTTAAGTGTTTTGTGAAGAGGCTGGTTGGGGGTAGGGATCTGCTCTGCCCTTGCCCGCAAGAGAGACCCGGCACTGGGATCGAACCCCCAGTTCAATCCTGAGCCACAAATATTCTCTTCTATCAAACATCAACCTCCTAGGAAATTAATGCTTTCCAAGTAAAGGGAAAGGCTGTTGGGGGCAATATGCTAACTTTGTAAACCGCTTAGAGAGGGCTGTAAAAGCACTATGGAGCAATATATAAGTCTAAGTGCTATTGCTAAATACCAGTCTTCCACACAAACAACAGAAACAATTAAAAAAGACAGATGGTAGAATTTTGTCAGGAGAATACGATGGTCATAGCAAACACACTTTTCCAACAACCCAAGAGACATCTCTACACATGGACATCACCAGATGGTCAACACAGAAATCAGATGGACTATGTGCTCTGCAGCCAAAGTTGGAGAAGCTCTATACAGTCAGTAGAAACAAGACCAGGAGCTGACTGTGGCTCAGATCATGAGCTTCTCATGGCAAAATTTAGGCCATTAAATTGAAGAAAGTAGGGAAAAGCATTGGCCATTCAGGTATCAACTAAATCATATCTCTGATGAATATACAGTAGAGGTGACAAAATAGATTTAAGAAATTAGATCTATGGACCGAGGTTCGCAACACTGTACAAGAGGTAGCAGCTAAAACCGTCCCAAAGAAAAAGAAATGCAAGAAAGCAAAATGGCTGTCTGAGGAAGCCTTACAAATAGCTGAGGAAAGAAGGGAAGCGAAAGTCAAGGGAGAAAGAGAAAGATACACCCAATTAAATGCAGAATTCCAGAGAATAGCTAGAAGAGATAAGAATGACTTCTTAAATGAACAGTGCAAAGAAATAGAAGAAAATAATAGAATAGGGAGGACCAGAGATCTCTTCAAGAAAATGAAGGGCACGTTTCATGCAAAGATGGGCATGATAAAGGACCAAAATGGCAGGGGCCTAACAGAAGCAGAAGAGATTAAGAAGAGGGGGAAAAATTACACAGAAGAACTATACAAGAAAGTGCTTAACATCCCTGATAACCACGGGGTGACCTCAAGCCAGACATCCTGGAATGCGAAGTCAAGTGGGCCTTAGGAAGTCTGAGCAACAGCAAAGCTAGTGCAGGTGACAGTATTCCAGCTGAGCTATTCAAAATCTTAAAAGACGATGCAGTAAAAGCGCTACATTCAATATGCCAGCAAATTTGGAAAACTCAACAGTGGCCACAGGATTGCAAAAGGTCAGTTTACATTCCAATTCCAAAGAAAGGCAATGCCAAAGAATGCTCAAACTACAGCACCATTGCACTCATTTCACATGCTAGTAAAGTTATGCTCAAAATCCTACAAGCTAGGCTCCAGCAGTATGTGGACTGAGAACTACCAGAAGCGCAGGCAGGATTTCAAAGAGGCAGAGGAACTAGAGATCAAATTGCCAACATACGCTGGATCATGGAGAAAGCTAGGGAGTCCCAGAAAAACATCTACTTCTGCTTCATTGACTATGCTAAAGCCTTTGATTGTGTGGATCACAACAAATTGTGGCAAGTTCTCAAAGATATGACAGTACCAAACCATTTTATTTGTCTCTTGAGAAACCAATATGCAGGTCAAGAAGCAACAGTGAGAACTGGACCTGGAACCACTGATTTGTTCAAAATTGGGAAAGGAGTCCGGCACAGCTGTATACTGTCACCCTGCCTATTTAATTTATATGCAGAGCACATCATGAGAAAGGCGGGGCTAGATGAATCAAAAGTTGGAATTAAGTCTGCCGGGAGAAATATCAACAACCTCAGATATGCAGATGATACCACTCTAATGACAAAAAGTGAAGAGGAACTAAAGAGCCTCTTCATGCGGGTGAAGGAGGAGAGTGCAAAAGTTGGCTTGAAACTCAACATTAAGAAAACTAAGGTCATGGCACCCAGCCCTCTCAATTCCTGGCAAATAGATGGGGAAGAAATGGAGGTAGTGACAGATTTTATTTTCCTGGGCTCCAAGATCACTGCAGATGGGGACTGCAGCCAAAAAATTAAAAGACGCTTGCTCCTGGGGAGGAAAGCTATGGCAAAGTTAGACAGCATACTAAAAAGCAGAGATATCACCCTGCCAAGAAGAGTGCAGGATAAACCAGTCCCTTGGACTGCAAGGTGATTAAACTGGTCAGTCCTAGAGGAGATCAACCCTGACTGCTCTTTAGAAGGCCAGATCCTGAAGAGGAAACTCAGATTCTTTGGCCACCTAATGAGAAGGAAGGATTCACTGGAGAAGAGCCTAATGCTGGGAAAGACAGGGCAAAAGGAGAATGGGACGACAGAGAATGAGGTGGCTGGGTAGAGTCACTGAAGCAGTAGGCATGAGCTTAAATGGACTCCAGAGGATGGTAGAGGACAGGAAGGCCTGGAGGAACGTTGTCCATGGGGTTGCGATGGGTTGGACATGACTTCTCAACTAACAACAGCAACAATATTCTTTTTTAAAAAGAACTATTAGATAATGAAGAAGAAGAAGAAAACGGCATTTAATTACTTAGAGAAAAAAGAGGGCAACCGAAAAAATGAAAAACCAAAAGCAAAATCCACCCCATGTTATTGTTCAGGCTGTTTAGTGACAGTCTGACATTACAATGGATGCAGAATGAGGAGATGTCAGAGTCCCTGTAGCCAAGTGATCAGGATTCGGGTACCTGGCAATCAGCTTGCAATTACAACGGGGGTCCCATGATCCCCACTTGAGCCCTTCACTGCTGGCTTCCAACAAGCAAAGACAAAGTGGAAGTTTACAGCAAGGTGCAAAATGACTATGTGGAATCCACTTAACTCAGTGGTCACCAACTGGTGGTCCGTGGACCACTGGTGATCCGCAAGAAAATTTTGGTGGTGGTCCGCAGAAAAATTATTTGCATTTTTTTATATTGCACTAAATCAGGGGTCTTCAAACTACGGCCCCTGGGCCGGATACGTGCAATGAACGTTTGTATTACTGCAGGGAGTCTCCCCCTTCGGGTTCTTCTTGTGGGTTGGAGGGGGGCAGAAATTCCGACTTGGGGTCTGCTTCGGCCTCCTGGTGTGGGGCTTTGGGTGAAGGCTGGAGGGAAGTGCCTCTGGTGGCAAAGAGCTGGAGGGCCTCGTTCCAGTGGGACTGCATTATGGCCTGGAACTGGCTGACCATCACAGCCCGCTGAGCCTCCAGGCGCCGGTACCTGGCCTTGCACTCCCGCAGGTCTTCCCTGTACTTGGAAAGCCTATGCTCCTAGTCACCACGAGTGAGGTGCTTCTACTGAGCCGCCTTCTCGGTCAGATCCAATTTGAACCGAGCCAGCTGTTTTGCCAACTCTTTCCCTTGACGGCTGCTTAGCTCCAACAACTGCTTCCTGTTGGGGCCCTAAGGAGCCCAGGCGGAAAGGCGAGGAGTGGCTGGCAGGTGAGAGGTGAGAGGTCGGCGAGGCGCCCCTCGATGTGAGTGACATCGAGTTGGCCATTGAGTTGGCCATGCCCACCCAGTCACATGACCACCTAGCCACACCCACCCAGCTGGTCTTTAGGCAGATCGTATTAGTGGTCCGTGGGATTTAAAATTATGAATTTAGTGGTCCCTGAGGTCCAAAAGGTTGGGGACCCCTGACTTAACTGACGCAACTGCCATGATAAGTCAGCATGTCACGCTTTATGACTATGTGGCTTACGATGTGTAGTGAGGGCTCCCTGTATTTTAATGTGAGGTTCATCCCAAAGGCATACCTGATAGTCTCCCAACCCCAACAGGGCTCAAACTTTGGCTCAGAATGGAGCCAGTCAGGGGCAGAGTTGAAATAATTGCACCCAGTCTTCCCCCAACCAGCTGACCTCATCTACTAGACGGACCAGACCAGGCCACTGAGAAGGCCTCCTCTCTCGGACTTGCAGTGACCAGAGGACGCTCTGGGCCTTTGGGGAAAAAGGCCAGCAACGTCTTGCAGCCTTGTGATGGAGTGGACTATGGACCTTTCCGGAAGGAGATGCTGGGTTCCACATGGAGTGGCTTTTAGCCCAGTCACAACCATCAGTATGGCAACAGACCTGTTCTTGGCTTCTTCTGCATTAATTTTCTAGTTCATTCCTGATGAACACTTTTGAGTAGTCCATCACCCTGTGCTATTTTAACGATTCACTGCTAGGCATCTTAATTTGAGAAATATATAATTTAAATCCTTCAGTTGGGAGAATCTGCCTGCTGCACTGAAGGAATGTAGTTGTATTACAGCAGGGGTGTCAAACCGGATCTGGCCCACGGGGTGCTTAGATCTGGCCCACGGGGTCATCCTGGAAACAGTGAAGGACTGGCGCACAGTGCCTCTGTCAACAAAAAGGGAGTGCAGAAGGGCTGCAGGCGGCCCTCCCAGGCTCTGTTTTCAGCTGTGACGGCCTTCTGCAGCTCTCTGCCAGCAAAAATGGAGCGCTCCATTTTTGCTGGCAGAGGGCTACAGGAGGCTATCACGGATGAAAATAGGGCCGGGCAAGCCATACACAGCCCCCTGAGCTCCGTTTTCGCTGGCAGTGGGCTGGCAAAACAAACTAAAAGCAAAGCAATAGAAAAGGAGAAATGTTTCCCCTTTTGCATTTGAACATCCAAGAAGGGACAGGAAAGGAGAAAGGGAAAGAGGAAAGACAAAGAAAAGGAAGGAAAGAGGGGAAAAGAGGAAGGAAGAAGAATGAAGAGGGAAGGAAAAAGGAAGGAAGGAAGGAAGGAAGGAAGGAAGGAAGGAAGGAAGGAAGGAAGGAAGGAAGGAAGGAAGGAAGGAAGGAAGGAAGGAAGGAAGGTTTAGCACGTGGCCACCAGCACCCCTTCTTCCCTTTCACAATCCCTTGTCTCCTCCTCCTGACCTCTCCTGGTGGTCTCCCATCTTATCACTGAAGATTATTTGGTTACAAAGTCAGGTCTCCTTGCGTGGAGAGGGATGGGTCTCCCTCTGACCCACACACTTTGCCCTCCCACGCACACCATGAGCAACCTGGCCAAGGAGAGTGAGAACTACAGCAGCAGCCTCGAGGAGGAGATAAGCGCAGCCGGGCACCCCCTTGGGGAAGTGGGGCTGGGCTGAGCTGGGGGGTCCCGGTGCCCTGGACACTTGCCCTCTGCTGCCTAGGGCTCTGGACAGTCTGCTGGTCCTCCGTGTGGCCTGAGAGGGACAGCGAGGCTCCTCTGGAGGACAAGGGTTTGGTGCTCTCCCTGGTCTCACCTTCCTCTGATGGAGACAATGGATCCCCCCAGCGCCACCACAGGTGCCCCCGATACGAGTGACCGCAAGCTAGTCACACCCACCCTGGCCCCCTCAAGGTCAAACACAACCCTGATGCGGCCCCTAATGAAATCGAGTTTGACACCCCTGCCGTCCACCATCCCTGGAAAGGAATATAAGTTAGATTTATTCAACCAAAGTTAAAATAGAGATGTTGTTATCTCCAGTAACCCTTAATGGACTTTTGCTGAGCAGGAGTGAACAACACAGCTCTTTATATTCATTTATGGTAAGAGACAAGATATGAGAAGAGATATTTATTGTATTTTAAGAGAAAGTGATAGCTTACTAAAATTGTTTATACTGTTATTAGGGGAGAAATCGTTTATATTTTTTCTTTTTATTTAGTATATTCTTATTTTTTTTTCCTTGTTTTCTGCATTATTATTTTTTTATATTACTTCATTTTTAGTATGTTTTAGTTTTTATCTTTTTATTGTAATATTTAATAAAATTGCTATTTAAATAATTTAAGGGCTGAGCACATGCGGCATAAATCTTTTCTTCTCCTGGAGGATTTGAGCAAAGCCAGGGAACTCTGGATGCCCAAGAACAGATGAGATGAGGCAAGGGGGCTCCTTCCTCTCCAGGGGAGAGAGGGAAGGACTAGGTTTCTTGATCAAGTTAATTCTCTCAGCTACCTTTCCTTCCATTCCCTCAACAGGTTTATATGGATGACGTCGAGTCTCTGTTTCCTCAAAGGCCATTAAGGCTTGACTTCTCCAGAAGAATTGTGCAGTTTTGGAGAATGGATTATTACTTCATTTTAATAGCAATAGCAATAGCACTTAGACTTCATAGTGCTTTCTCTCTAAGCAGTTTACAGAGTAAGCATATTGCCCCAAACAATCTGGGTCTTCATTTTACCCACCTCGGAAGGATGGAAGGCTGAGTCAACCTTGAGCCTGGTGGAATTTGAACTGCAGCTAGCAGTCAACTGAAGTAGCCTGCAGTACTGCACTCTAACCACTGCGCCACCTTGGCTCTTAATGAGGTTTTATTGATGGATTTTATATGCTTGTATTTCTGTTTTAATCCGCTTCCATTTGGTTGATGTTTTCTCAATGCTGGGAGCTTCCCAGAGCCACTCTGGCAAGATGGGTGACTCTACCAATCAAATCAAATCAATCAAAAGATTATTGCATGTGGTTGGGATTATGTGCTGCTGTGTTTGAATTCTGTTTTTAACCCTATTACTGTACATTGGAATGGAGGCTGCAGAGAGTCGCCCGAGATTTGGGTAGTTTATGAGTCCCACCAGGTCAGCAAGCAATTAACCATCCTTGGCCGTAAATGGTCCCCTTGGCCTCCCGCCTGGACTATTGTAACGCTCTCTACATGGGGCTCCCCTTGAGGAGCATCTGGAGGCTCCAACTGGCGCAGAGTGCGGCCGCGCGGGTGGTAACGGGAGCGACATGGCGCTCCCATGTAACACCCCTCCTGCGCGAGCTGCACTGGCTCCCAGTGGTCTTCCGGGTGCACTTCAAGGTTTTGGTTACCACCTTTAAAGCGCTCCATGGCTCAGGACCTGGGTACTTGCGGGACCGCCTACTACCACCAATAGCCTCCCACTGGCCGGTACGCTCTCATAGAGAGGGGCTCCTCCGGGTGCCGTCGGCCAAACAATGTCAACTAGTGGCCCCCAGGGGGAGAGCCTTCTCTGTGGGGGCACCTACCATCTGGAATGAGCTCCCCCTGGAGATACGGAGGATCCCGGATCTGCGCACCTTACGTCGTGCTCTAAAGACCTTTTTATTTCACCAGGCGGGCCTGGCCTAACTTTCTCCCTCTTTTTAAACAATTTTAATATTTTAATATTTTCAATATCTTTTAATTTTCAAAGTTTAAATCTGTTTTAAATTGATTGGGGTTTTAATCTGTCTGGGCCAAATTATTTAATTTGATTTTAGTTCTGTTTTTTAAATTTTGTATGTATGTATTTTATTGTTGGCTGTTCACCGCCCTGAGTCCTTCGGGAGAAGGGCTGTATACAAATTAAATAAAATAAAATAAATAAAATAAGTGCTTCTGTGACTCAGGGCAGCGGCAGAAGTGGTTTCCTGAAGGCCAGCACTAGTCAATCATGGTGGCCAAAAGAGAGGAACGTCCAGCCAAGCGTTTTCTTTGCTGCAGCCAGATGGCTTGGAGGAGGCTGCCCCAGTTCTTCTGGAAAACAAGACAGCTTCAGGGAGCAACTCACCTAAGGGAACCGCAGGCACCACCGGGTCAATGGGCGAAGGTTGGGCTTTCACAGGGATGGGCGTGGTGGGGCCATTTACCATGACGTGTCCTGGAAAGGAAAAGGAGGAGAAGTCAATGGACGGGACTGCCTGCAGATGCTCCTGGATGCTTGCAGCATGAGAGAAAAGCTTTGCCCATCCCCTAACTTGGTTCTGCACTTCTGTTTCTAAGAAGTGCCGAAGATGATGGTTCAAATTTATTTGGCTTCCTTTCTCCCTCCCTGCCCAGTCAAAACCCAATGCGTGAACCCATCGAGGACCTGAAGGGAGGGAACACAGAAGCAAACCAAGCTCTCTGCCACTCCAGGGGGAGGGTGTGGAACAAGGGTTTAAGCGACAGGAAAGCAGATTCTGGTTAAAGGGTGTGTGGATTTTTAATAGTAACAGCAGTGGTGGTGGGTCCCCCTCTGCTGGATGCAAAAAAGAGGTAACTGTTGGTCATGAAGGGTTTGGGTTCCTTCCTTGAGCATTGGGGGTGGGGGGGTGGGGACGCAGTCTGGGGCCCTTTTTGAGGGCAGGATTCTAAACCTACCCAGGTAGTGGAGCAACTTCTGAGCTCTGTTCTGGCCAGGCCGCAGATGGAAGAGGTCTGGGTTTTCATCAATGAACTGGGTGTCCACAGTGCCATGGAGAAACTGATCATTACTGAGCACATTCTGCAGGAAAGGGATGTTGGTCTGAAAGGGAAGGGAGAGCAGAGGGAGGGGATGCTAAGGAGAGGCACTACGGATGGCTCCGTTTCTGCATCCCTCAACAGCATGAGGAGGCTCTTCTGAACTCTGCATTGGCTCTCTGGCTTTGGCTAGCCAGAGAGCTTTTGGATAGCCCGTTGCTGGATGAGACTGGAAGCCTGACTCACCTTTTCTGGCCAAAGCCAGCTAAATCCCCCCAAACGAAGGTAGCAGGCCCAGCATCTGGCCCAGAGGGGCAGAGCCACTGATTACAGCCCTTCTGAGTACCTCAGATACTCAGATTAACAGATTTGGAAGGGACCTTATAGGTCATCTAGTCCAACCCTCCCGCTCAAGCAGGAAACCCTACACCATTTCTGACAAATGGCAGTCCAATCTTTTCTTGAAAGTCTCAAGTGATGAAGCTCCCATAACTTCCGAAGGCAAGTTCTGTTCCATGGGTTGATTATTCTCACTGTCAGAAAATTCCTCCTTATTTCCAGGTTGAATCTCTCCTTGGTCAGTTTCCATCCGTTATTCCTTCTCCGGCCTTCGGGTGCTTTGGAAAATAGCTGGACCCCCTTCCTCCTCTCTGTAGCAGCCCCTCAAATATTGGAAGATGCTCTCCTGTCTCCCCTGGTCCTTCTCTTCACTAGACTAGCCAGGCCCAGTTCCTGCAACCGTTCATCATATGTTTTAGTCTCCAGTCCCCTCATCATCCTGGTTGCTCTCCTCTGCACTCTTTCTAGAGTCTCAACACCTGTAGCACCTTTGCTGTTCGCATAATAGCTGCTAGAGCAGACTTCTCTTCCTCCATGAATTATGTTTCTGTGCAATAATTAATAGCAAATGGGACGAGGGCAATGGTGGGATTCAGCTGGTTCGGGCAAACCGGTAGTTAAATTGCTGGCTGGCCCCTCCCCTCCCTGTCCTTTCCAGGAGTCCCCACGTGCCCCATTTTGGCTCCCACGCAGGCAGGGAGGCCTACGAGGCCCAAAATGGGGTGTGTTGGGTGCAACTGCCAGGAGGCTTCAGAGAGGCCTCCTAGGCCCAAAACAGGGCACGGGGGGGGGGGGGGCAGCACATCCACACACACCCCCGTGGCCCATTTTTCCTCCCAGGGGGATGCAAGAGGCCAAGTCCTGGCTGTCACACCCCCTGGCCACGCCCACCATGGCCACGCCCACCCAGCCGGTCATTAGGGCAGAGAATCAGTTGTTAAATTATTTGAATCCCACCACTGGACGAGGGCCAGGCATCCAGGGTCAAAAGAGACGGAGTCTTGTCTTTAAAAGGCCTACAAAAGGAGGGAGGGAGCAGCAGCCGTGTGAAGTGGCCACCGAAGGGCTCTCTGCAGGCACTCTGCAGGGAGCCTGATCAACTTTACAGCCAGCCACACACAGGGCAGGAAAGCAGCTGCCCATGGCAGCCCTTTGCTTCTAGCAGCAGAAATCCAGAGGGAAGCACAAGGAAGCTCCACTCAGCTGACAGTCCTGAAGCTTCTCCCATCACTTCTCCACTTGGATTGGTCTAACTTGGATACCGGCATTCATCGATGGCTTTAAAACAGATGGGACTGAAATAAGCAAATACCCCAAACTACCTAGGAACCACTCCATTTGTGTCCTGCCTTGGGTGATGGAAAGGATACGTTTGTGAGCAAAGTTATGATCTGGAGGAAGATTTGTCAATACAAAGCTCAGATGAGACTCTGCGCTCATCCTGCTTCCTTTGGGGCTTCTGGGGATTTCACCCCACATGCTCCGGCTCTATTGACGGAAACGCAAAAGGACCCCCAAACTGCATCTACACTCTACAAATCTCTTGTCTGGCCCCATCTTCAAGCCAATACATTTCCAATACAATTTTAAGATAATCGTATCATCTTTTAACAGAGCGACTTTTTCTGCTAAATTTAAAGGAGACAAGTAGAACAATGCACCTTAGAATTGACAATGAAGGTATACAAAGGGCAGGGAGCTTCTGCCTTTCAGGATCAACCACCGACAAGAAAGGCACAGGCAAGAAACCTGCTGCAGACGTAGCTTGGGCAGAGCAGCCCCTTGAGAGTCAATGCCTGTGCTATGTCTAGGCCCACAAAGATCAGAACCTTGCAAGCTGGAGGATTCCCTCCAACACTGTATGGCCATGAAAGCTGGACTCTGAAGAAGCAGGTGATGAAGAGCGCTAACATCAGAACTTTGATGTTTTGAACTCTGATTTTGGAAAAGACCACTGAGAATATTGAGGACAGCCAAGAAAACAAATCAATGGATCATTGAACAAATCAGCCCACTTGAGGCACAAATGGCCAGGCTCGTATGATCCTTCTTCAGACACATAACCAGCTCTCTGCAGAGGAAAGTGGAAGAAGAGAGGGAAAGAAGACAACCAGCAGCAGAGAGGACACACTTGGGCACAGTGGCAACGGAGGCTCTGCCAAAAGGCCTGAGAGACCAGCAATCATCACGGGGAAAATAAATCGGTCTCTGTTGTTGCTGAGGGTCAATAATGGCACGATGGCACGGAAGCAATCAATCCATCACGTCTTTTGCATCAAAGGTTCCTATGCCGGGGAGCAAGAAGGTCGTTTGGGCTGTTCTTGCCTAAATCTATGGTCTCAGTGCCTGACTGGGAAATGGAATTTTTTTTTTTTTAATTTCAAATTTATATACCGCACCTTCTCCCAAGGGACTCAGGGCGGTGTACAGCCAGATAAAAACATACAATACAAACATTAAGAACAATTAAAAGAATATATATTAATTTGGCCCCAGTTTAAAATGACAAACCAATTAAAAATTAAAAATTTAAAAATATGTTAAGCCAGCCCGGCTTGATGAAAAAAGAAAGTTTTAAGGGCACGGCGGAAGGCACTGAGGTCTTGGATTCTCCTTATCTCAGGGGGCAGCTGGTTCCAGAGGGTAGGTGCCCCCACAGAGAAGGCCCTCCCCCTGGGGATCACCAGCCTACATTGTTTGGCTGATGGCACCCCGAGGAGGCCCTCTCTGTGGGAGCGCACGGGTCGATGGGAGGTTGTCGGTAGCAGCAGGCGGTCTCAAAGATAACTAGGTCCTATGCCATGGAGCGCTTTAAAGGTGGTAACCAACACCTTGAAGCGCACCCGGAAGACCACTGGGAGCCAGTGCAGCTCGCGCAGGAGCGGTGTTATGTGGGAGCGCCATGCAGCTCCCATAATTACCCGCGCGGCCGCATTCTGGACCAGTTGGAGCCTCTGGGTGCTCTTCAAGGGGAGCCCCATGTAGAGAGCGTTGCAGTAGTCAAGGTGAGAGGTGACGAGGACATGAGTGACTGTGCACATGGAATCCCGATCAAGAAAGGGTTGCAACCAGCGAATCAGGTGAACCTGACAAAAGGTCCCCCTGGCTACAGCCGTCAGATGTTCCTCCAAGGACAGCTGCGTATCCAGGAGGACTCCCAGAGCCCTCTCCGAGGGGGCGAAAGACTCGCCCCCAATAGTCAGCAATGGAGTCAGCTGACTATATCGGGATGCTGGGAACCACAGCCACTCAGTCTTGGAAGGGTTGAGCCTGAGTCTGTTCCTCCCCATCCAGATCCGCACAGCCTCCAGGCACTGAGACATCACTCCAAGGGCATCGTTGGGGTGGCCTGGTCCCAAACACTGTTTCTTCATTCTTAGCCCTCCGTGAATTCATTATTTCTTCTATGCAGTAACATGCACAGTTAAAAATAATTTTAAAAGCAAGCTGTGAACTTAATGGTAGTGATAAAGATTGATATGTTCTGAATGAAGGAGTCTTAAGCAACGGAGAGGTGTTTTCCACAGGACAGCCAGGATGGTGTTCCATTTCTGTCAAAACCTGCCCCCACCCACCCACCCACCCACCTGGCCATGTGAGCAGCAGGGAAGATGAAGTCCTCTGGTAAAGCAATCCTAAGCCCATCAGGTTCGAGGCCCCCTTCTCCAACCTACTCACAAAATGGGAGTGTCTGTGCAGCCTCTTCCAAGCTGAATCTGCATCAGCTGCGGCCCCAGGTAGAACGGCAGGAAGAAGCTGCAGAGACACTCTTGGATTCTCGGGGGTGGGGGGGAGCGCTTTCACCATTGGTTTCCATTTCAAAGGCAAGCTAAATGGGCATCATTCTTACACCTGATTTCAGGCAGGGCAGTTCTCCTGGGACAGCAAGTGATGCTGAGGTATTCTGTGAGTAATTCTACCACATTATTTTCTCCTTGAGGCAAAGTGGGATCCTCAGTGGTCATTGATGGAGGTATAAATAGAATTTTAAAAAATGAATAAAAACAGGTAGCCACCCAGAACTCCTGGGGTCAGATTTAATATTTACTTGAAGACCTGGCTGAAGAGGTGCGATTGCAAGGGGAGGTAGCTCCATCGGATCCCCCAGCCAGGCTCCAAGGTTCAGCAAGAGCCAGACCAGCAACAGAGCCGTCCCGGAGCAGCCCTTTTGAGGGCCCAGAAGTCTGCGCTGTCCTGAGGGGACCTTCCGCTTGTGCTTCCTGAAACCAGCTTTGCCCCAGGACGGTCCAGCAGATCTGCTGCTGCTGCAGCTCTGCCCCCCGGCAACAATGCGCCTCAAAGCTGGGATTGAGACTCCCCACAGATGCGCTTGGGCAGTGGATTCCAGGCAGCCATACCCACCACTGTCCCCTCCTGTCCGGTGTGCTAGAACGCCCATCTCTTGGCTCGCTTCCTCTGCTGTGAGAGCCGAGGCTGCTGGGCTAGCCTTTATGCCTTGTATAAACTCAGAAAATGGATCAATGTCGAACTTAGATTTCTTTCCCCCCCCCCCCCCCCCCATAGATGATGACCAGGTTGAGCCCGAGGGCGGAGCAAAACACATCATCCGTCTGGAGTCCCAAAAGAGACCTAAGTCCAGCCCTCCTTGAAGTCTGTTGACTCTGATCTGGCGCCGATTTGCACTGATCATTTTTTTTTTAATTTGATTTATATGCCGCCCTTCTCCGGAGACTCAGGGCAGCTTACAATGTGCAATTAATGGAC